GTTTGTTGGCCTATAATCTTGAGACTTTACAAGAGTGATATTCAACAAGTTAACGCTACAGTTTATATTAATTAATGAAGTCAACAATGCACAATGTGGCTCTTTCACCAAAGTAAATGTTTTTTTTTTTATAACAATAAATACAGATTAGAGGAAGGTAACCTTTCGGAGCTAACAAAAATAAAGTTTTGTAGTTAAGTATTAAAGAAGCCGCACTGTGATGTCCTGTCGTGTGGCTTTAGACACAAGATACATACAATAAAACAGTTCAAAGTTTTCAAGAGCTGAATCCATAGCGCACGATATACCAAATAATCCCACTCTTGAGGTAGATATACCGTGAATCCAGGCGTAGTAACTATTCACTTTGTAAGAGTAAGATGGATATGTGAGATGAACTTAGCGAAACTACCAGCACTCGTATTCTACAAAATTATGTTGAGAAAACGTTGAGTATATACTGGAAAACATGTAATCAAATTTAAAACAAAATTAATGAAATCACTTTGACGCACGTATTAACAAGTATAACCAAGATGTATTTCTATATCAGTTTCTTGAATCAAGCCGTTGATTTGCTCAGATAGTGTATGGAAAGGTAAGCGTTTATTGGATGATTACAAATTTACACTTCGGTGCTACATGTCTAAAGGCTTATAACGCTAGAAACAAGGTTTCGATACCGTGGTGGGCACAACACAGACAGCCCATTGAGTAGCTTTGTGCTTAAAATAAACCGTGCAGCAGATTGAAATATGCGGTCAATCGTTAGATGCCTCTCTTCACTGCTATAAAATAGTACAACAGCTATGATAGTAATTTTAACTCTAGCTGTTTTAAAGTTATCATTTCTGCCCAGTACAGGATAACAGACATTTTACTAACGGCTCTTCTGTAGCTTAGTCTTAATTAACAACGTTCAGTTACTTCACTTTTATAATTGTAATGTTTTTCTCAGCATTGAATACTCGTTTACTGTCATGTGTAGGGAAACAATAACAAGTTAAATATAAAGATATAATACTTTCCCATTACTTGAATAAAACTAAATGACACAATTACAGCTCTTCCGACTAAGTGAATTAAACATGTCTCAAAGTATGACTTTCGTGTAGTATTTGTTTGTTTGTTTTGAATTTCGCGCAAAGCTACACGAGGGCTATCTGCGCTAGCCGTCCCTAATTTAGCAGTGTAAGACTAGAGGGAACCACCCACCGCTAATTCTTGGGCTACTCTTTTACCAACGAATAGTGGGATTGACCATCACATTATAACGCCCCCACGGCTGAAAGGGCGAGCATGTTTGGTGGGACGGGGATTCGAACCCGCGAGTCGAGCGCACTAACCACCTGGCCATGCCGGGCCTCATAATTATTATGACTGAAATATAGTAAGTTGTTAATCTACAGGTTAAACACACTGACTTTCTCACGATTCTTTAGTGAAAATTAATGACAAAACCTTGTCGAAACGTTGTACATTTGCTGTTATGTTAAACTTATATTAAAGTTTTTCTTCATTACCCATTCAAGCCATCTCCAAGCTTTATTAGTCTCAAAGTGGGTTCCAATTCAATTTGATACTTTAAACATTAGTATATATTGTTCTAAACACAAAAGAGCTCAAAACATCAAAATAAGAAAATACCGCAAATCAAAAATAGGTTTAATGTTATTTAGTTTGGTTCAAAACCTACAAAATCTTTATTGCTTTCACTGTAATTTTTTATTATTATTTAGAGAGCATTATAAATAGTTATGTTTTTAAAAGAAAAAACTACTATTGTTATAAATAACACATTCAATTGAATTAAACTATG